ACAGGAATCAGTGAAACCCACCTAAATAATTTACTGTGTACATTAAATATTCCCTCTATGAATCCAGTAAATTTCAAGAGTAGAGAAAACGAGATTGGGCATGCAGTAGAGCAAGTAACAAAGAAAAGTTGCAAAACTCCAATGTCAGAAGATAGAAATGCTGCCATCAAAAAGGGTGTAAAAGCAGATGACCAAGGCTGCATCAATATCCGCTGCTCATATGACATGGGTTTGGCAAAAACGGGGAATGGGGCATAACTCGTCAACTGGTCATGCTGCAGTCATGGGTTTAACTTATGGGAAGGTTATGGATTATACTACAACAACAAAATCCTGCAGGGTTTGCGCAAATGCTAAAAAAACTGGAAAACAAGCCAAGCAACACAATTGTCGACTCAATCATACAGCATCATCAAAAGAAAACTGTCAGGTGTTTGAAAAGCGATAATAATATTTATACTGTTTTAATCGGGCACAAACTCTCAGGTTTTCGATAATCCAACTCTTCTTCGTCAAGGTGGACGTCAACTTTGTGAAAAGCTTTCCTGTCTTAACGTTTTCTTTTCTGACACTCTCCCTGTGATGAAGAACTTGGTCAAAAGTAAACATCCCTCTCTGGTCTTACAGGATGGTTCCACAGTTAAATTAAATCAACAATCCATTTATCAGACACTTTTCCATGAACCTTTCCCCGCACACGATGCAATGGAGGATGTTAGAGCTTTAAGAAAAATAGTCTTTGACTCCCGTCTGAACATTTCAGAGGACATGTTGACAGAGAACATGTCAACAACACAATACGCAGAAAACGACAAGAAATACCTTGATCGTCGCCACGAACTCCTGCAGACTTTCCGAGACTCATCCAACAAACGCGAAATTCCCCATCAGGCAACAGATTGCTGAAAAAATAGCCGGAAGTGGCATTTCATATTGAGACCTTAAGAATGTTTTCGAGAAGTTCGGAGCAAAGGGGCTTGTTGGCGTATTGTCTCTGCCTCCATCTTCAGCAACTAGCAAGGCCCCGCGAGTGACAAAAACAACCCGTATTCTTGCCGAGATCGTTGAGCACTTCAAACCAGCGGAGGAAACCACAAGTTAAAACGCATTTCCATAAGTATTACAACACTTAGGTATACTTTTCGCCGTAGTGGGGAAAAATAAGCTTCTACTTCTCGAC